AAATGAAATTATTTCAAAAATGACCGATTTTTGAACCCGCCGAGATTTCAGAAAAAAGTGAGTACTTTCGACTTTTTTGCGATATTTTTTTTCAAAAATTTTCCGTAAAATCCAAGCTTGGCATTACTACTCAAAAGACCCTTGGCTATACGATGAGCGAAGTCTGCGTTATCCTCCTTCATTTAAACATAAGTTATGCTCTCTCAAAGTAGAGGCTTCTGAAAAAAGTTGTTGGCAATCTTCATGCCAGGATCTTTTTGTGATAGATACTGTCACGCAAAAGTATCTGTTCTATAGCCACTGATTTAATGGTTACAGTAGTTTTCACTACGACCAGAAATGTCTTTTCAAAAAAGAGTTATCTTGGTTGAAAGTTGAAGTATAGAAAACATGCATTGATTATGAATCAACCTAATATTAGGTTGTCCCAAAAGTTCTGTCCATTTTTTCAACCTATCATAAAAATGCGTGAAGCAAAGATAGGGAAACGCTTCTAAGCACTACTTGACGCATCTTTTCCTCCTCTTACTAATTGTAATAATCTTGTGCAGATTACTCTTTTGCTCACTGAGATAAACGCCGAAATTTCGAACCCGTGGTTTTTACTATGTCCAAGTTTGACAATTTTTCACATTACTCATTTTCAATTTTTGGAACTTTGATAGCCTCAGATAGAGTAAGCAAAGGGCAATGCAATGCAATTATTTGGCATATCTAGCTGGCGTTTCATTATTTTTGAAGGTAATTTTTTAAAAGTCTTCTTTTGCGAAGTTCTAAAATACAGAAACGCCTCGAACACTAACAAATCATCGGTTTTGAAACTTTCAAAAACCGATTACGATTATTCACTATTTTTACGAAGCAAAGGAGCGTTTACCGCTTCGAAATATAAGATTTTGCGGTTTATGGGTACACGCTGAGGTGGGGTCAAATTCAAGAATTATGAAAATTTTATTGCCAAGGACCCCGCAAATTGGAGAGAAAATACACTCACTGGAAAGAGGAAGAAAAGCTGCATCGAATAACACCTTAGTTGTGCGCCGTTTCATGATCTCTGGCTTTTGGCATCACCAAAAGTGGAATTTGATAGCATCAGAAAAATAATTCTAAAAAATTTTCAAGGTTGGCTTTAGATGCCGCAAAATTGCATTATATTGCCCTTTGTTTGCTCTATCTAATGTTGCCAAAGCTTCTCCGAAAGTCAAAAATAAAGATTGTGAAAAATTGCCAAACTTGGACAAAGTAAAAACCATGGGTTCGAAATTTCGGCGTTTATCTCAGTGAACAAAAGATTAGTCGGCATGGTTAGAAAGCTAGAAAGAGAAGGAAAAGATACGTCAAGTAGTGCTTAGAGCGTTTCCCTATCTTCGTTCTTCGCGTTTTTCATGATAGGTTGAAAAAACGGACAAAACTTTCGGGACAACCTAATATAAACAAACATACATGGTGTCCCAAAAATGTATCCACAGTTTGATTGTTAGTAACTTTCTTATTATGAGGTCTTTAGAGAAGCGGTAAGCGCCATTTTGTAGAGCTAGCTTCAACTTAGATTTACCATATAGAGCGAATCAGCGACTGCTCTTCATTACTGTAGGATTACGGTAGGAACTTTGAAGAGGGTTTTAAGCCATGAAAGGCCATATTTTGCTTCAGAAAAAAAATAAAGCAGCCTGAAGAACTTTTACCTTAGGCTGAATAGAGTTGCTGATTCTAACTGTAAAATTCCCAACCTATTATGATGCTTCATTGAAGAGTTATGCCAGGTAAGAGGTAGCGGTCATTTTTTCAATGTTCCTAAAAATGCGGTTACCGTTCACAAAGATTCGTAATTTTGTGAATAGTTGAGTATTGAACCAGCGTCCATAAAAATCCTATTGCACAAGTTTTTACATTTCTCCACATTGACACCATATGTTTCAAGTTTCTACCTTAATCCTACAATAATGAAGAGAGATGGGTGATTCGTTCTATATGCAAATCTAAGTTGAACCTCGCTCTACAAAATGGTAATTAAAGCTTTCCGAAACACTTCATCACAAGAGAGTTATTTACAATCAAACAGTGGGTACACTTTTTGGAACACTCTGTATATAATTATTTATCTATATATATGTTCGTTCGACCGATATTCAAAAAATCGTAACTTCCTTCCTTCTCTGTAAAATTTCTTAATTTAATTTTTGTTTGAAGAGGAAGCCTTTTTCTTTACAACAGTTCTTTGACATGAAGTGGTGTAAGAGAGTCTAAGAGTTGGGAGTAAACAATTGAATAAAATTACTCAATATCGGCATTTTTTTAGCTGGACCACGAAGAATTCCGGAAGTATTATTTTTTGATAGAGAAAATTATGCTCTTTACTACAGTGCCTTTTCCACGAATCAAAACGAAAAAGATCGAAAGTTATAAGCAAATAAAGAGTATTATTTGGGTTCTAATTTTTGAGCATGCCTAGGAAAGCCCGAAAACGTCACAAAAAAGCGGGAAAGCCAAAAACACGGCTTTTCTGACCCTCTTTTTTTAGGTGAGCCAAATTCGGACCAATCGAGAGCAGTTTTAATTTTCGTAATATTTCCGGATTTTTGGGTCTGCGTTTCTCACGAAAATCAAAATTACTCTCGATCAATCCGATTTTGGCTCGTCTAGAAAGAAAAGGTCACAAAATACGTGTTTTTGGCTTTCCCGCGCATGCTCAAAAATTGCAAAACTGAAGTAATTTTCTTTATTTGCTTATAACTTTCGATTATTTTCTTTTCATTTCGTGGAAGAAGCACTACAGTAAAGAGCATATTTTCCTCTATCAAATAATAATACTTCCGAAATTTTTCGTGATCCAGCTTGAAAATGCCAATCTTGAGTAAATTTATTCAATTGCTTATAACTCTTGGACCTTCTCACGCCATTTCATGGCATAGATACCTTTGCAAAGAGAAAGGTTTCTTCCTCTTTTGAAGAGAGATTAAATCAAGAAATTCCATCAAGAAGGAAGGAAGTTATGATTTTTTGAAAATCCGGCGAACGAACTTTTGAACCCACCTAATATACAGGGAGTCTCAAAGGTAAGTACACACTTTTCAATCGTCAACATCTTTCTTCCCAAGGGTCTTTTTTTGGCCATTTAAGTGTCATTGTGTAAAAGAGGCTTCAACTTAGATCTATAGCATCGAGCGAATCACCGATTGCTTTTCGTTACTGTAGGATTACGGTAAGAACTTCCAGCATGTAGAATCAAACCATTGTGAAATATGCCATCTGACAAAATTTTTTCAAAATTTTTACGAGTGTTTTTAGCTTTTTTGACGGTGTAATCTCACATTTTTGACAAATGCTGGAAATCAGTTATTACGGTTTACCTGAGATAACCTTGAAAAAGCATCACAGTAAGGGAAAATTTCATATTTGAAATCAGCGGCTTCCATTACCATAGTGTCAGAGTTTTTGGCTTCTTCGGTTTTGTTCCAAGGCAGAATATGGCTTCCAATGGCTTAATATCCTTGTCGAAGTTCCTACAGTAATCTTACAGTAATGAAGAGAGATCGGTGATTCGCTCGATGCCAAAGATCTAAGTTGTAGCCTTCTCTACAGAATGGTACTTGAATGGCGGAAAAAGAGATAATGGGAAGAGAGATATTAACGATTGAAGGTGTGTATATATATACGGGGTGTCCCAAAAGTATGTATGCACTGTTTGATCGTTGATATCTTTTTTCCCAAGAAGGCTTTTGCTTAGTATGCAACATTTTGTAAAGCTGGCTTCAACTTAGATTAACAGTATGAAGCGAATGGATCGTTCTTCATTATTGTAAGATTACGATAGGGCTTCCAGCTTACAGCGTCATTACGGATTTACCGTGTTTCAAAAAAAGTTTTAAAAAATCTGAAAAGTGGTGTACTAGGGTTTTCCAGCGCTGATTTTATTACTCGAATTTTTAAGAATTAACAAAGCTTTTAAAATCTTGTGATCACCATTTTATGGATTCTTGTAGAAACAGCCGTTGCGGTCTACATGACATAACTTATGAAGGAAGCATTGCGGTAAAGCGCAAACATCATAATTGGTTTGAGCGGCTCCATGACCTAGTATAAAAGTTTTCTGGTTGTTTGGCTTGCTTTCTGAGGCGTAATAGGGTCCTTGATGGCTCACAGCCCTTCTTGGATTTTTTATCGTAATCCTACAGTAATGAAAGATGACCGAGGATCGCTCCATACTGAAAACCTAAGTTAAAGCGCTCTACAAATTGGTGCATAGGGTAAGCAAAAGACTTCTTGGGAAAAGAAATATAAACGATCAAACAGTGTATACGTACTTTTGGGACACCCTGTATATTAGGTTGTCCCGAAAGTTCTGTCGTTTCATTTTTGAAATTTTGTAACTTTGCGGATTTGAATCCTTACAAATAAGTTTGAAAGAGTAGGTCTTTCGCTTTCGAATACTTTCCTTCCTAGCTTCTGATACACGCTTGCAGAGATAAAAAGGGCAAAAGAAGACCATATAAACTTTGGTCATTTTAAGTTAGGCCGTCAAAAATCTGAAACTCTGCAGAAAAATCTGAAAGCGTAAATGCACAGGTTTTTTGACCTACTCTTTGCAACAGTGAAAAGTTTGTGCTGTTTGGACGTCTCTGTGAAAAGTTACGAATCTCTACTTTATTACAGAAAATGCCAAAATCAATTGATTTGTCACTTTTTTCGAAAATCATAACTTTTCACAGACACATCCAAACAGTAAATTCGTAAAGAGTAGGTATTAAAGTTCGAATACACCGCAATTTTTCATGAATTCTTGCAAAGAAACGACATTTGTTTCGCTTTCTCTGAAGTTGAAAATGAGCGCTTCTCTGAATTTTTAATTTCATTGGCCACGATAAGTATTTTCTTCGTTTTAAATTAGTTCAAGCACTGCGCCGTCCACAGTTTACATGCATACAAACACACACAAGTACAAATCCTCTGCTTTAATTTTATGAGATCATCGCACTTGCTCTGATATACTACTTGTTCAGATGAACCACTTCACATAAATTTGGAGTCTTTGCAAATGCCAGTGATAATAAATGCTCATCGTAATGGCTACTATAGACAGAATTATGACAGTGTTGGATGGGAGAATATAGCTGCGCAGTTTACACGAAATCCGGTAGGTTTGTGTCGGTACTCTTGAAAACACCAAATCTTTATATCACCACAAGCTTTGTTGCTTTTGTATTGAAAAAGCCATTATGACGTTGATCAGTTAGGGGATTACAGGTGTTTGATCCTTATACGAGATACGTGCTTTTGAGCGATGCATTTTCTGCAGCTGTTATCGGTCAGCTGGACTACAAATTTGTGTTCAAGCTCATTCGATATGCTTACTCATCCAAAAGCGGTGAAAAGGTAAACCATCTTTGAAATGTGACTGACTCTGTAGCTTCAGCTCTATCAATAGTGGTGGCTTAGTAAGACAACATTCTTTTTACATAATTGCTAGAAAAACTCAAGCACATCGAAATCAAGGGAATCTCCCAATAAACCGTACAAAACATAGGAAATCTCAGCCAATGCAAAAACCGCTATTAACCATTATGCTTTCTATTAGGTAGCCTTTTCGTATAGGTAAGCAATGGGAAATAGTGACCTTCAAAGCAATAAAATGCAAAGGGTTTCGCGGTGCCCGCGCCAATTACTGTAAAGCCGCGTCGCGAAATCTTCAAAATCTGTGTCTTGAAATGGTACATTCAATAAAACATTTGAATATATTTGCATTCGAAATCTAAAACTCGAAGTTTTCCATTTTCGGTTATAATTCGAGAAAATAATTCAAAAAAACGGGGTTTCGAAGAATTCGAAAACTCGTAATGGAAACCTTGAACATTGTTTTGTTCAAATGTTCCATTCGAATTGCAAGTAAAAATCGTATCCGAATCATTTGAGTTCGGTGCAAAGTCACATCAACCGAGTTGGGAAGGTCAGCAAGTTTTAGATATGGTCGTTCTAAATATTTGATTATTTTTTTTATTCGTGCGTTATTCCCTAATACAACACGCATACGGGGTCTGCTACTCTCTCAGTATCATTTGATATGCTAGGTGTTCCACAAGAAAGAACAGAGAAAAAAACTGTTGATCATACGTTACAAACAAACTGTAACGGTGCATCATCATGTCTACTCTACTACTTTTATTAGTCTTCTCCATTTTTTACGATCTTCAGCCTGACGTTCATCAATTTCGAGCTTTTTTAAGTCTGCCTCAACTTTATCCATCCGTCTTAACTTTGGTCTTCCTTTTGGCCTCTTTCCGGGGACATCTACAGACATTGCTAATTTAGTGACGTGATCTTCTCCCTTTCTTCTAATATGTCCGTCCCATCGGAGTCGCCTTCTTGTACCTTCTTTATGATTGGGGCGACGTTCATTATTGCTCTTATGGTATCGTTGGTGACATGGTCCATCATCGTGATGCCTGCCGTCCATCTTAGCATACGCGTCTCCATTACACTAATCCTTCGTTCATCATTTCGCGTACACGGCCAACTTTCGCTGCCATATAGAGCAGTTGGGCGAATTACAGTGCGGTAGCACAGCTGGGATTTCAGCTTGATCGGCATCCGCTTATTGCACATGATTCCTGTGAGTCCTCTCCATTTTGACCATGCTGCGGTTATCCTGAAGCTGATCTCGTCTTGGAGCATACCATCTGCAGAAAGGCGACTTTCCAGATATCCAAATGTTGTAGTCTTCTCGACTGCGATGTCTCCGACTCGGTTGGTCCCAGGCGTTTGAGTTCCTATCTCCATGTACTCGGTCTTCGCAGCATTGATCTCCAAGCCGTGCAACTCAAGTTCAGTGTTCCATTTCTGCACTCCCGCCTCCAGTTCTCCCCTTTCCTTTGCCATCAACAATATGTCATTTGCGTATATCAAAGCCCACGCAGGCTGACGTATAAAACCTTCAACTATAGAGTCCACAACCGTAATGAAGAAAAAAGGCGACACGACGGCACCTTGATGGACGCCGGCGCGTATTGGAAAGTTTCCAGATTGACCCGCTGCTGACTGTACGTGGCTCGTGGCATCTTTATATATCATCTTGATCCATTGCAAGTATTCCTCTGGCATTATATGCTTTCGTAGCGACCATCATATGATTTCATGCGGCATCTTATCATAAGCCTTCTCCAGATCGAGAAACGCTGCATGCAGCTTGCACTGTTTTTCCCTGCTTGTTTTCATCATTATCCTGGCAGCATGGATGGCGTTTATCGTGCTGCAACCTCTTACAAATTCACATTGATTGGGAGCTAGTTCCACAAATGCTTCGCAGTCGCGTTTCTAAAATTCTTTCAAAAATCTTCATTGTGTGACACATGAGTCGGATGGGCCGGTACGTCGAGCAGTAAGCTATGTCGCCTTTGTTTTTCCACATCGGTACCGTCGTACTTCTGTACCAATCGTTGGCATGTTCTTGGTATCAATCTGATTCAGCAGTTGTGTTGACCATGTCACTCCAGCTTGTCCGCAATTTTTCCAGAATTCGTTAGGTACGTCATCTGGGCCTGTCGCTTTACCATTCTTTGTTTTCTTAATTGCGACAGAAACTTCTTCCTCTGTAATGCTGGGTACTGGTCGGAACACAGGATCGGCAATACACTTGATGTGTACTCGTGGTTCTTAGATGCCATTCTTGCAAAATGTGATCTCCATCTATCATTTATCTCCGTGGCCTTGTGAGTACTTTTCCGTGTTCATCTTTGATACTGTAGAAGTGCTCTATATCGTGCATGGCGTTTGCTCTTCTTTTTGCGATTCGGTGAATGTCTCGTTCGGTTTTTACAGTTCGTATTTGTTGATGTTGAACGTGTTTCGTTTTCGGGAAGCTTCCTAGCTTTGACTTGAGTATTTTATCGAAACATGAAAGAGCATTTTGATGCGACGATTTTTCTTCTTCAGCCGGCTTGTCGCTCGCTTCCCTTTGGACTAGCAGCCTGACGCTGGGGATGACCACTCACGATGACCGCAAGTGACAACATTTGATATTGTCACTTGCGGTCAGTTCTAAATATTTGATTATATCACTCGAAAAATCAAAAATCAACCCTTATTAATTATCGGTCGTTCATTCGGACTTTTCACAAAATTTTCGAATTCTTGGCTGTCGTTTGTCCGAATGCTTTATGTTTCGAAATCGTTCGATATTCGTTTATTCGACACTTTCAATTTTCGAATATCTTGATATTCATCAAATGTTTCAAGCTCTATTCGATTTTCATTCATTCGATGAAAATTCCCCGAAGTATACTGCATGAAAATTTTTTTCAGACAGGTGATTTATGGATTCTAAATTTTTACGATGTTTAGACTACATTTCTCAAGAAATCTCACAATTTTTCACTAATTCTGCAGCCTTGAGTTTCAACTGCAGCTCTTAGAACATTACAAAATTTCAAGCGTTCACAACAAAATTCTCCTCAAGGGCGTTAATTTAACGGCGACGTCCACCTACGGTGTGGTGATATCCACTTGGTGCAATAACAGAGCCCTGGTTAGATGTCGCTCAAGTGCCCCTGAAATCTACTGAACCCCAAAAAATTGCTTTAATAGGTGGAACTAGGCTGGCTTCACTTCAACGCGGGTGGTTCCAAGATAAAAATAAGGATGTAGACAAGATATGTCTAAATACAGAGTTCGATGATTTCTATCGTGATCTGATAACTGTTAATGAGTGGCGGACACTTATTTTGACTTCCAGTTTTGAACATATTCTCCTCAGTTCACCCACCTTGATGCTGGAATCACCATTGAGGCTTCTATTTTTTAGAGCAACTTTCTCAAATCTGACTTAACCTTCTACAACGATGAGCAGTACCCAATAGTCCCGTTAATGTATCGTATAAAAATCTGGCCAAACTTATTCGGTAGGCAGTCTCTCTAAAAGTTGTTCAGAATGAATTCGAGCGCATCTTGAAAAGCGTTTGATTTCCTTTCATAAACAGATGTTTAATTTTTAAAAGCTTTGGACCCTGAGAAAATTGATAAGTGGGTGACGAGCAACGAAACAATTTTTGGGGTGATCTACAAAAGCCGTGAGCATCCAAACATCAAGAATATAAGTTGGATATTTTCTATTCGGAGTGACCTTTCCATATAGCATCACGCCATCTTTTAACGCTAATTTTACGTCTGCTTTTTTCACTTTGGAAATACTTTTAGAAAGAAGTTAAGGTGTACGAAAGTTCAAATTTGTCAATAAGTGACACAAAATTATCGAAAAGCTTACGGCTGTAAGAAGGTACTCATATCTGTATCAAGTTTATTTATTGCAATGAAGGAGCACAGCCCGTGGAGCATAGGTATTTTTACAACTTTTCGCCCATTTTCTGCCACTAAGACTTGATAGATATACAAGATCAAAACTGAGCACTTTTTTCCGAGAGTTGTTCCGCAAAAAAGGAAGGATTTAAGCGCTCTGGCAAGTGATATAGGCGTCATGTAGAAAAGCACTTCAACCAAGGCTTCCCTTGCATGCAATCCAACTTTTTCACCGTACCACTGGTCAAATATAGATATCTGCAAATACTGCGTAGATTAGCTTTTAGTACGTTGGCTATGCATAAAAAGTGCTACTTCCACCAATGTTGTTCTATTCTTATGTTACAGCAATGGCTACCATGGAAAGCAATTGTAGATGAGATGACCAAAATATATGCAATGTATCAAAGGACAGACGAAAACGCTTCCTATGTCTTGGTTAGTGTGCGATAATCGTCTTCATTGCAAGTTACAATACGAGAATAGAAATATATACAATTCTTGAATGTTTCTGCAAGAAATGGGTTTGTTGGGTGCTTTTTATGCTGTCCAATCACGGCCTTACGCTTCAACGTTTTTTCGCCTTCCCGATGGTTTCGGCCGCTGGAGTTGTACCATAAAGCTATAAGATGTGATCTAATGTTTGCATGTGACATGAATGGGTGAAAATCTGCGATGATCGATAGCCGCTCGTTTCTAATGTTCACTGTTGGATCTTTGCAGAAATCCAGAATGCTTCGATTGCGTTCCTAGCCAAAGTTTCTTTTTCGTGTGCCAAGATTTGACGTTAAGGATAAAAGATATAGGATTCGGCGTCTTACCCTTTGCGGGTATGCGCCGAATGCACTCTACTTCACAAAAAGGGCGTGCAGCTTTTTACAGTGATTTGCGGGGCCCAGCCGATTACCAAGTCAGTGCTTTTATCTCCCAGATTACTCTGGTACCGATTTACCGGCCCAGGAGGGTAGAGGGCTTGGTTGGCCCAGGGGCGGAGAAAATCGTTCCAGTATTATATTCGTTCCTAGGCTTGTCAAGTGTTGAAAACAAAGATTTATGCCTTTTATCTGCCAGATGTTCTTTTTATACGATTAGTGAGGATTTCTTCATTTTGCCCTATTTAGATAGCATAGTAGCTAAGACATTCTAGTTAATCTGCAATTGCGGCAGGAATGATGAACGAAGGTCGCAAACTAGCAGGAATAGAAGTGATGCTTGACGGTTTCGCTTCATTAACGCTTTGAGTTTCGCCCCTCTGAGGAACGGGAAAAGGCGTCGAAAGGTAAAGCCGTGTTTGGAAAGAATAACGAACACCTGACAAAGCTATTCGGTACAGAAGCATTCAAATACTGACTGTTATATAGGTTTTAAAAAAGTGGAACTTTTAAATTATAAGAAGAAATATATATTGCACACATCTTTTTTAGTCATACATAGAGAGAGTGTTGCAACCAATTTCTCTTGAAATTCGTAAGAAATTCTTTGCTGAAGAGACAGAATTTGCTAAACATATAAGAAAGCAAAACGAATCTTCGAAGGAACGCATCACTGGAATATTGGATTGGAAATCAGTGAGATGGGAATCCAATACTGCTTTGTAGGTTTGAATTGTGCCATTTTTAACATCATAATTAACTTGTTAGCTAGTCGTTAATGCGAAGATGACTTTGAATGAACAGTTTGGCCTAGTCAAAAATTGCCACGGCAGATACTTATCAAATCGCATAACTGAAGAAGTATCTTGATATGGTAAGATTCTGAAGCGAGAAGTCATAAAATGCATTGAAACTTTAAAACAATTCTCTTTCTACAATCAAAAGATATCGACAGCGACTTTTGAGGCAAACTAAAATTTCAAGTAGACAGCCTTGCTACCAAATATAGTTAGTGCAGAAGTAAGGAGCGTTTATTTGCTCAAACTTTCTAGGATGGGGTTTTTTGCTTGTCGGCGATTGCCCTCGCAAATGAACTTTTCCGTCGTAAAGCAAGCGCCGCTCAGAAAAATTTTTTAGAGCTTTGGTGTTCCAAATTTTACGCCTTTTATCCATTCATGAGTAATTACCGCCCCTTTATACATATTGATTATAAGTATCTGCCGTATCAAGCATTTCTAAGTTCTTGTGTATCTCTTCAACAATTCTCAAGCATCGACTTATTTTTCTTGAATTATCCTTTGCATGAAAACATTCCATTGTAAATTATCCAGTGCAGCCGTGCTAAACATTTTTCGATAAGAATGATTAAGCTTGAAGATTGAAAAGTTTGATAAAACTCGAGAGCTGTGGTTTACGAAACTTTGAAATTTTGCTGACTCAGGTTTTTTCAATCAAAAAAGCTTAGCACTGTTCGGCTGAAATTAATTCAATTTGAGATTCAGTTTCAAAAGAAAAGAAAACTATGAAGAAAAGAAGGTTGGCAGGGGTGTGGTGCAAGAGGAACAATAGTAATTGTCAGCTACTGCTTCCAATGCACTGTTTGTCTCACAATGCGTGAATTCTGGACTTCTGAAAATTAGCGGAGTTGTATGAAATGCTTTGTTCAAATAGTTCTGCTCAGCGCCTAAATAATGATAATTGCAATTTGGTAATGTTGTTGCAAGAAAAAACTTGAAACACTTGAAGTTTGACCTTTGAGACCTTTTTTTAATATTTTCAGCTGATTTTCACACCTCTTTTCAAGCAAACAGAATCTTCCTAATTCTTCTGTCAAGATGAAAGCATAAAAGAATAAAATACATTTTTTGCTGAATGGGCAGAAATGACTGTGAAAGATGCGCGAGTTATTGACACCCACCAGCTATCGTTCCTCCTGCTCTCCACTCGGTTGGCAGCTAAGGATCATCGGATGTACCCTTTGATTTAACTGGCCTGGCGGCTGAAAGGCGGGCTTTCGTGACTTAATTAAGGGTAGACGATGATCAGAGAGCACGCTCGCGACAAAAACGCAGACTGCATCGCGGGCGCAAGCAGCGTCAGTTAGGTCACAAACCCCGGCGCAAAGGTTAGACTGCGTGAGATGAATCTCGGGGGTTTGAGACAAAGCCTTCTTTGAAGCTGCATTGCCTTTTCTAGCCTGTATCTTCATTCACGCATGAGTCCCTGAGTTGCCTCTCTGACTTGCTCCCCTACTCCTCTCCTCCTTCCCCTCCTCCCCCCCCCCCCGCCACTGGGCACCATTTTACGTTCCTTTCAGGGCGAAAACTGACCTACGCATTATTCTAACCGCGAAATCTAGTTGAGCTGGAAAAAAATGAATTTTCCCTAAAAAGTGCCAAAAATTAAAACTAGGAAAAGAAGTACTTTCCTATAGTAAAAAATAGTCTGTGATTTTGCTCGGTCTCCATGTGGGCAAAGTTTGCCGGGCCAATAAACTTCTCCGTCGCAAAGCAAGTGCCGCTCAAACGGCCACCGCCGCGTTCACATACTTTACGTTTACAGGCACATACGTTCACATACTTCATACGCTCTCTAGCAATGCTGTCTATATCAAACATTCGGTGCAGGATTGCGCGACTTTCCTGACTGCCAAGAAAAACAAGTTTGGTTTGCTTTTGGCGAAGCAATCCTGAGCTGCTCCCACATTCGCAGTTTCAAACTTCAGAATTTTTTAAATATTGTCAAACCTTCTGAAGGGGGGGGGGGGGGGGAGGGGGGAAATGGGCGGATGCTTAGAAGTTGTAGCATGCAAAATGATCTTTCGTATTCTCTTAGAAATTTCTCCTTGTTTTTTTCTCTCTTTTAGCTTCGTTTGATGGATATGGGATAGCACAGAATTTGTTTGTTCCGCTGAGAAGCTTATGTCGGTTGCAGGGAAATGTGCAGGCCAAAGCCCAAATCTTGAATTACGAGTGTCTCGACGACATATAGAAATATTTCCCGTGTTAGCCTCTTCCCATTCTCCTGTGCTTTCGTGATTTATTCCCCATGATGTAATGCGTCACTTTGAAACAGATGTTGTGGTCTATCCACCTTTCTGCCCTCAATGTATCTGGCATAGTTTGGTTTGCATTAGTTTAGAAATAAAACGTTCTCTATGAAACAGGCGAACAAATGAACGCAAACTGACAAGCCTTACTTACAAAATATGCTGAATAATCGAAACTGTCTTTATTTGCTTACGAAGCCTCCCGCTCCCCGCCCACTTGCATGTATTCCAAATGAATGCGAGCCTGGAAAGCTTCGGAAAAAGCTTATCTTCGCCACTTCTCTGCATTTGAAAGCCTAGATATGGGTTCATCATAGCGAGAAGGCTCCGAAAAGGTGAGAATCTGACAGAAGAAATTCTGCCGAGACACTGTCTTTAAAGGCAGTGGCTCGGCAAATCTCAACCTAGTCAAATTTGCGCTTACCTGGGGTTTTTCAATACGCTGATCCCGAAAATCCACTTTTGAAAGCTTGAAAACGGCGAAAAAAAAAAACGTTTCTAAAGCCCATCCCTTTGATATTGGGCGAGTGGAGCAAGGTCGATGACGCTAAATCGTGGCAGGACCCAATGGTTATAGCGTTGCGGCGGGCAGCCTCCAATGGTGAGAAGGAAATTGCCAACTCGTCCAGATGCGTGTAAGATTGGCCTGCGCGTGTAAGTTCGAGAGTTTCTCGGCAGGGAAAGCATGCTGTGCAACCGGGATTGCACTGTTTTCATAATTGGGCGATGAGGAACCTGCCGCGTTAAAATCTTGAGTTGTTGGATTTTGCCGATCCACTGCCTTTAAGTTGGGGTGTTCACTCGTTAGAGGAAATAAGGCTCCCTCGTTAGAGGAAATAAAGCTATCTCCCCAAGAAATCCTCAAAGATCTTATACACAGGGTGTCCCAAAAAAATGGAACGAATGTTTGATCGTTGATATCTCTCTTCCCAAGAAGTCTTTTGCCTTGCTTCAAGTACCATTTTGTAGAGCTGCTTCAACTTAGATATGCGTTATAGAACGAAACACCCATCTCTCTTCATTACTGTAGGATTATGGTAGAAACTTGAAACATGTGGTGTCATTGTGGAAAAAGCTGCCGTTTCAAAATTTTTCAAAAAAAATGTGAAAACTTGTGTAATATGGACGCTTATGGACGCTGAGTTTAATACTCAACTACTCACGAAATTACGAAGCCTTCTAAAGGATGCAACCGCATTTTTTAGGAACATTGAAAAAATGGCCGCTCCTCTTACCTGGCATAACTCTTCAATGAAGCATCATAATAAATTGGGAACTTTACAGTCATAATCAGCAACTCTAATCAGCCTAGTGTAAAAGTTTTGAGGCTGTTTTGTTTCCTTTCTGAGGTAAAATATGGCATTTCATTGCTTAAAACCCTCTTTGAAGTTTCTACCGTAATCCTACAGTAGTGAAGAGAGATGAGTGATTCGTTCTATGATGCAAATCTAAGTTGAAGTCAGCTCTACAAATTGGTACCTGAAGCAAGGAAAAAGACTTTTTCAGAAAAGAGATATTAACGATTAAACGTTCGATACATTTTTTGGGGCACCCTGTATAAAGCTCAATGTCTGTTTGTCTGTATGTCTGTCTGTCTGTATGTATGTATGTACGTATGTTCCGAATAGAAAATTCCATTTCTGAACCAATCCGGACCAAACTTGGCACGCATACACTTCGAGCCCCGGCGGGTGTCATAGGCTACTTTTCGTCATCGATCGATATCGATTTTGTCGATTTTTATCGATTTTTTGCAGAGTTTGAGCCACGGGGCTGGGATTTGGCACAGGGGGTATTCGAGCATGCTGATTACGAATACAATATTAGTTTTTGAAATCGTTTATTACTTTCATCGAATTTATCGATTTTTTTGCAAAGTTTGAGCTAGTTTGAGCTACGAGGCTCGGAGTTGGCACAGTTTGGTAACTGAGCATGCTGATTACGAATGTAGTAACTGTTTGTGAGAATATTCAGTACTTTGTTTCTTAGAACCTGTTAGAAAGGTGTAAGTTGGTATTTAGTTAAGCTAATTCAAACGAGGTAATCTTTATTTTTCATCCTCAATCCTGCATCAAAATATCTACCCTGTCATCTGAGACTGGATTTCAGTAAGGGAAAAGCGAGTGCGCTAATTGAAAAACAGCCTTCCCGAAATAATTCAAGCGCTAATGATCACGATCAAACGTACTGAAAGAGCGTGATCTCTATAAAATCACAACAATTTTAATTTTTTGCGAGGTTTAAACTATTCTGAAAAATGTTTTATTTATGAGACACTCTTTTAGATCAGGTTCTAATAGAGCTAAGATTGCTGAAATTTTTGCATGCACACATTCTATATGTGGGTAAAGATGCCATAAATATTTTCAGAAAAAAAAACGTTCTTTCAGGGGTTTTCAAATTTATTGGGAGGAAGTCATGATGGCGTCTTGGAATGAGAAAGAGAAAAAATATTTGAGTAGCACCGCTGGATTGGCCATCAAAAGGTGTTTTGGACGCAAGATCCCAAGATGTCTCTGAGACGAGACAAGCATTTTTGATTTTTCTGTAAAAATTCCGGTTTCACCGAGTGTTGATATATCCGTACGCTTTGAGCGAATGAACCGCGGGTTCTGCGTCGACTGAGGTGGCCGAATGGCTCACCTCGACGGAGGTGTTGAGCCAGTGGTTCAA